AGGATAAGGTTTGATGTGGGAATGATGTAATTGAGCCAACTTGAAAGCCATAGGGGTGGTGAACAGGACCTCCCAGGGGCCAGTTACACTTTCCCCTGAGTTGTGTCAGGTTCTTCCCTTCAAGTCCTAGAGAGAACTTGGTCACTGGCTGAAATATATGTAGGTTTCATATGCAGGGCAGGGGGACTCTTTTTAAGTAATTTAGAATGTGCCATAGTGTAGCTCAGGAGGTGGCAGGGCACACCATGGCAGAAATTAAAGGTCATCTGCTGGAGGTCTTGTAAAAGGCTGGAGAGCCATCTTGGGTAGAGGGTCCAAGATTAGTTGAGTAAGTTCATTGGTCTGAATGGGTTTGTTATGGGAATGCAGGACCTGGAAGATAGCTAAAAAATTACTGCAGAGTAAAGAAGTAAACAGAGGATTGTATAGATTTCTTCCAATGTAGTCAATAGGAAATCCAGCATTGCCTGATTATCTAGGAGTGCCTGGGCTCTCCTAGATAATGATTGAGTTGAGCAATCTTGGTTGAGGCCTAAGGCTTTTGAAGTTTTTTCTCTTGGCAGTTTTAGCATTGGAGACAAGTTTTCAATTATACTTCTTTTGGCATATAATATGTAGATTGGTACTAGTATTTTTAACGAAGTCACTAAATGTTATTTCTGTGGCAGCCATCCTAAAATACATAAAAGAAATGTATTTGGGGGTAAATATTTCTAATTTCTTTTAGTCCTTACTTTGGTTTTATATTAAAACCTAACATGTTATCTTAGTACTAAGAAGCAGGAAAGAAGAAAAAAAACTAATTGGAGTAAATCTGACCACTATATATAATTTTACAGTTTTTGACCAGTCGAATGGATCAGTTTAGTTAAACAGATGTTTTATTTTATGTGTTGACATTACAGACAAGGCTTGAATCTAATATAGGTAGATTATATCAGATTTAAAAAATTTTTAGTTTTATTAAAGACAGGATCAATTTATTTACTGAAAGAAACTGTATTCTTAGTATATTTGGCCTGATTATTTGTATAAAGTGCAGTAAGAATAATTATTAGTCATATAGACTTTTTTTAATTGGATTTTTTGGAACGTTTTCATAAGGAATCTCAGGTTTGACTTGAAAGCTTCTTAAGCCAAGGATTTGTCTGTGCCAGTAGATACCTATATACATTGGGTAAATTCTTCTTTTCTTGAGGTCCTAAAGTGTCTTGGAGTTGCTGGACCTGTCAGAAAGTGACATTCTTTACTTACAACAGATCTGGAAATATTATTAATAAGGTATCTTGACCAGTTTTTCCACTGGGATTTCTATTGGCCATATAAGTCAACTTTAATTTTTTAATGCAGTCTGGACATTTCTGAATAGATGCCATTCCAGTCAAAGCCTTGGTAAAATAACCAGTATCTTTCATTGTTTCTTACAGAAGAAAACAGAAAGGTTCTAAAGCCAATATAGGGAGGTTATATGGGTATAAACTTTAACCTTTTTAAAGTTTAAGAAGAAAACAAGTTTTTATTGAACTTATGCAAATAACTATATTGTTACAAATTAAAAATCCTTACAAGTGGTTTTCAAATTTTGGAGAAATCTAGTAAGGAGAAAAACAAATGTTTGAAATTTTGCTTACAAATAAATACACTGCTGTAAGTTATAAATAGCTCAAGAGATACAAAAAGAGTTTCCTTGACTTCTGGAAAACAGAACACAGAAAGAATCAGTAATGTTTCAAACAAAAAGTCATAAAAATTAGCAATACTCAGACATGTCAGCCTATCAGTTTTTCTTTCCTTCCTTCCTTCCTTTCTTTCTTTCCTTCTTTCTTTCTTTCTTTCTTTCTTT